TTGAAAACCATCTTGTGGGCACCCCGGATTCTGTATGCTTGTGGTTATAGCAGTACAAATTAGCCATTAGTGAGAGTCAATTTCCTCTACCTTCTGATCATCTCCATCCATGATAAACATCTAAATTACATAAGCAACACATGTGAAAATAAATTCTGATGACAGTTCTGATTGTTTACATCAAAGTTACATATCCAAATATCGAATGATGAGATGAGTGTAAGAAAGAACTGTGTGTTCTTAGTCACTATGATTTCGTAGAAAAGATAGTCAAGAAGCTTTACTCCATTGCCAATATGAGTAATAGTTCTCTTTCTACCGAAATGATCTCTAACAAATTGAGCAAGAATTAGCAGAAACCTCAACTACATATAGTAAAAACCTTAACAACAGCAATCTATACAAATCTAACCATAGTTAGCTCAAGTCATGAGTGAAATGAAAACTCTCGAGGTTTTCATTTCAGATACATTGTGTTAAGTTGCAAATTTTGCTCAGTTAGATAACAAAAATAGTTAGATCTAATACATATCTAGTTTCTAAATATGTTTTACTCTATCTATTATAGTCTACTGCTTAGTTTGAATTAATTTTTGTTTACAGGATTGTCTATGTTTTAGATCTCTATATGGACATTTTCAAAGATAAAACATGTGGTTAGTGAAAATTTAAAACTCTAAAAGTCAAGGGGAAGATTTTTTTTAGCCAAATTGACTCTTTCATAGCTTTCGCTGCAATTACATATTTCACTTCCTTAGTTGACTGAGAAAAGCACTTTTGCAAAGTACATCTCCACTAAATGGATACACTTCCAAGGGTGAAGAAATATCATGATGTGGACTTTTGTATTCTAAATCTTGGCCATAATCAGCATCTACATATACTACCAAGGATTTGGCATTGTCTAAACTATCATCAAACAAAAAGCCAACATACTTTGTACCTTTTGGATACTGAAAATTTCAATTAATTATCTCCCAATAGACGTGAACATGAATCAATTTACTTTGCCTATAGCTAGACTAATATCTGATCTAGTACAATTAGGTAAGAACATAAGATTTCATACTGCCTTATCATAAGGAATTTAGCCATAGCTACTATATTCTCATCAAAAGTAGTATATTGATCATTAAAAAGTTTGAAATGAAGTGTAAATAGAACGTTCACCAACTTTGCAATTATCATGTTGAATCTTGCAAGCACTCGTTACGTGTATATAGTTTGATAAATCAAAGTTTTCATTTCTTGATATTCATGCCAAGAATACTCTTAGACTTGCCTAAAATTTTCATCCAAAATTCATTACTCAATTAAGCTTATCAACATCAAATTTATTTTTAACAAGATAAAACATATCATCCACTTACAAAACTACCTTGATATATCATAGATGAAATTACTAACTTGTTTCATGTAAACACATGGATTGTAATTTCTTTGTGCAAATTCAAATTTTTTTTAAATTCATCAAAAAGTTTATTGCATTGTCAAAAAAATTGTTTTGATCCATATAAGGATTCAAGAAATCTACAAACCCACATCTCTTTGAACTTCTTAGCAAAGTCTTGAAGTTATTCCATGAAGATTATTTACTTCAATGCTCCATAGAAAAAAACACTAATAGCATTCAATTGATCTTTTATAAGATTAAAAATTGCTACAACTGCACAAATCAACAGAATTGTAGAAAACTTAGCTATTGAAGAAAACATCTCATTGTGATTTACACCTTTTTCTTGTGTATAATTCTTGGCTCCTAACCTTGCTTCATGAATTTTCTTATACTCCTCTTTGGTATCATCTTTTTACTTGTACATACATTTGGAATTGACAATAGGTTGATTTTGAGTAACTTCTACTAGCTCTCAAGTCTCATGGTCTTCAAATGATTTCATCTCTTTCGCCATGGCAACATTCCATTCAAATTTGGCTTGACTTTACAAGCTTGAGCTTCATTATACAAAGAAGATTCATCTTTTTTAAATCAAAGTATCATCATTTTTTGTGCTTTCCAACAAAATCACTATCTTCAAACAAAGAAGAATTGGTCCATAAATAACTACCTTTCAGAAGTTCTACTGGTTTTATTTAAAAATCTTCTAATAATTATCTCAATTTGATCTTGATTGTCCAATGCTATACTCAAAAACTCACCATCAACTTTTTGTTGCTCAAAAATCAACATCTCTTGCCTAATAATTTCTCCTTGTGGCATGTTATTACAAATATAATGACCAATTTCTCTCTCAAACGGTGTGGAATTTCATCCATGTTAGTAGCAGAAGCCTTAGCATTTTTTCCCTCTTTCAATGTTATTGAGTCACTCAAAAAAACATCTCTAAAAAAATAATCTTACAAGTTCTAAGATTCCATATACTATAAACTTTCACACCCGTCTCATATCCAAAAAAACTACATCTTTTAAATATAGGCTCTAATTTGGAATTATTTTCCTGGGATATGAAAAAATAAGCATCTCAATTAAAAACTTTTAATTCACTATAATCAACCGTTTATGTTGTAATTCAAATGATGTTAAAAATAAATTGCATTTGAAGTAGGAATGTTATCAAATAAATCACTACTTTTATTTTCTTAATCTTGTGATTGTCCGCAAGTCTCATACAATGCCGTACCCAAAAAAAACTAGCTAGTAAAGTAGATGCCATCAATTTTCTTTTCAAATCCTCAATCAATAAAGCACTAATCACCTCATTGTAGTTGATAGACTTCTTATCACCTTGAATTAATATTTGTGGAAATGACTGAAACACTGATTGCAATGAATTCAATAAACAAAATGTTTTACACTCATCACTCAGATTTTATCCAACATTGATCATATTCACAAGAATATCATTAAAGTCATCATTATGATCTTGAATTTTGATAATTGAATTTTTCATCTTGAAAATACTCAAATTGAATAAGCAAGCAAATGATTTGAAAGCTTACTATGATAATATTGCTTAGATTTACAACTATATACAAACCGAGTACAAATGAACTAGCAGAACGAACGAACAAGATTTTGTGTTCTATGATTGCAAAGGAAACAAAAACAAGTACAAATGCTGGTGATTGTAATCTCAAGATACATTATGCAATGTGAATATACATTTCAACGTTCAAAACTGCAACGAGATTTAAACCATTTTGTTTAGCCTATGGCATCGAGTGTATGCTTTTGATAGAGTACGAACTTATGATACTTCAAATTGCTTCTAAGGCACATTTGACTCTGAATGAGTCGCAACGAAGGCGGTTGGTGCAATTTAACGAATTGAACAAGGTTTGTAGGCAAGACAAGCAATGGAGATGGCTCACGCAAAAACGAAGAAGACGTGGGATGCTAAGGTAGAAAAACGGATGTTCAAGAAGTAAGACTTTGTGATGATATATGATTAAAGTACTTTCGAAGAACTCATAAAAAATTTACACCCAAGTGATTTAAACGGTATGAAATTAAGGAATTCTTTGCAACAAAATATATCTATTCTTTACAAAATTTAGATGAAAAGAACTATACAGATTGAGATAATCATGATAAGTTGAAGAACACTTATGTAAACTAAGAAGAATCCAAGGAAGTATTCTGCTATAAGCGTGGAGCTAAGGTTATGGAGTAGTTAGCTTCTAAGAGTTGTTAAATTTTGAGTACAATAATCTTGTGTGCTTTCTAGAAACTATGCTTTCACCTGTCGAATAGTGGAAGTATAGCTCCATTCAAGTTTTCTAGTGTTTGGTGTGGAATTTAGAATGGTTGGGAAGTTTACTTTTGAAACTTAAATACTAGGGTATATAATGGGCTCTCTAGGAGATTTATGGACTACCAAGAGTGCCTTGTTTATCGATTCGTTGTGTTAGTTCTTGTGTAGAAGGCCTCGAACTTCACGGTTTTACACAGAATATTTGTGAGTTAAAATTAGTGCTTTTTTGTTCTCTCCTAAGGGGAGCCACATGAAATCTTTGTTACTTCGTTTCTTTCATACGCTGACGTTTCATCTGACGTCATCTTGCAGTATCAATAATATGTCAATTTCAGAATTTACTACGTGTAAGATTGACAAGCATTACTTGTATAATTAGAATATGAAATCTTTCAAACGACATATTTATCTGCCCGTAATCTTGATTGACCGCAAGCAATGCATATCAAAGTTCACTTTCTTTAAGATGATTTAATTCAATTCATTCATATTATGATGATGAGACTACCTTCAAATTTAAATTTTTCAATGATATTATATATATGTATATGATAATTTTAAAATGTTGAGATTAATCATTTTTCTAGTCCAATGACTAAACATGGACCACAGAATATCGAAAGTATGTTTGTAAAAAGACGAAAAAATTGTGAAAAAAATTCAAGTCACATAGTAAAATTCAGTTTCGTTTTATCCAACAACAAAAAAAAGACTTCTACCATAAATTTTTGAGACACATTAATCATACATAAAGACTTATTTGAAGTACCTTCTATGTATAGTAATAAAATAATTTTAAACAAATAAAAAATGATCTCAACAAACAGGAAAATATCTACTTGATTTTGGATCGAATTTCGTATCAACGGGTGTCACAAATTTGTACTTGCAAAATTTTATATCGAAAAACTAAGTTTTTTTTTTAATTACATTTGAACAATCCTGCTTTTAAAACATTTTTCCCGAAGTTTGTCATGAATATCACAGCTAAACATTGTAGTATACATCTAGGAGTTAATCGCTGTTGTAATCTACAGTGCACAAAGCATGAACTGGCTTATATTAACTCAGGATTGGTACAAGTCAACCCGCAGTACAGTAGAGAAACTACCATATAAAATAGAAACATTGTAGGTAGCAATTGAAGACCGAGTACACTGACCAGGTGCAAGTCAACTTGATGCAAAATTTGTTTAGTTATCACCAAAGACAACACCGACCTTCGTGTTTATAGCTTCAGAATCCCACAGACTCATATGAAGAGGTTGGATATTCAATGCAGATTTCCCATGCCAAAATAACAATTGAGACTCGAGGGTTCTCAGTACAGCCTCTTCTGGACGGACTTTCAAGTTTTATTCTTTTTTTTTCTCTGTTCAGAACTTCTTTTGAAACAATGTCAAGAAGTCCATCTTGATCGACAATGTACATTTGAGATCCAAAATCTTCTACAGGGTGTCTTCGTAACTTGTCCAACTAGGAACTATCGACTAAGATCTTAAGGGCTGCATTAGCATCAAGTACGTCTGGATTGATCATCGCTTGGCTTTGACGGACGAAATTGTGCAAAAAGTCCTGCAAAGGGGGGTAGAGTGAAAGGTGGAAGCACAGGAACCAAAGCTTGCATCAATTGCGGGAAGTCTTTCTGTTGTGACGGCCTTGATGTGTAAGATTTCGTCGCTGCCATAGCAGCTCTGGGTTTGTTAAGCGACTCCAGGATGTAAGAAAACACACCAAAACTAACACAACTTTGAAGTAAAGCTTGAGGACTCCCTGCATAACAATATAAAGACAAAGTTTATGAGCATAAAATTACCTCCATTCTTAACCATACCGATCAGATGTTTTCAATCGTTCCAGTGACAACCACAGAGAACACAACAAGACTACTTATAACCAACTGGCTGACAGATCATCCATAAGAAAGCTAAAAATAGTTCTCAATTGACTGTGCTAAAGAGAAACTAGAAATTTTGGAAAAATGTACTCACCTGGAGTGCTCAAAGCAAGGCCAGTGGCGCAGCCAGCAATACCCGCATTTAAAGCTGTAAAAGTGGAAGTCACGCATTAGTAATCTATGATGTTCAAAACATATTCAGATAAATTCCCCACGATGATTAGTCTGAAGGCGAATGGGGTTTCATAGCACACCACCTCAACAACGGAGATTTGAAAACCCATTCATGCAAATAACAACTGGAGCTTACAAGTAAGTCAGAACAAAAGCTAGAGATAATAGTCTAATCCAGTCTATGCGCCGGGGAAAAATGTATTGTCATACCGTCTTCCACACCCCGTATCCTTCTCAGGTAGCAAGAAACGACACTATGTACTCCTGATAGGAGGGCAAATGTCTACACAAACAAACAAACATTGTGTGGTGAACATAAGCTTCAATCAGAGCAGAAAACATCACAAAAACTTCAGAAGATACATTTTGACAGGATCTAATATGTGTTCAACAAAATGGTATGGTAAATGCAATTTATCAACGTCGATACAGAAAAGGTACACTTGATGTTTACATGTCGGAGAACAATGAGAAGAAATGTATAGACATATGAAGAATATTAACATATGCAACAAAATCTTCGTCCGCATATGCAGCGATTGACGGGAAGAAAGGCAATGAAAGAAAGGAGAAAGGCGAAGTCCTTGTACGAAAAGAGATGCACATGTCAAGATCGAGAACACGAACTCAATACGAGCGGCGGGGCTATGACAGAATTTTAAAGGCATGTCAGTACAGTAAAGCAAAGTAATGAGAAAAAAAAATTTCAACATTGTGGGATACACATACTGTGACCTACTCGAAGGCAGCCTAAAAAATTGAAATGCCATGCAGTCCAGTCAGATCCTGGTTGAACATATGACATAGCGCAAGTCAAGTGCAGATGACGTTCTACCCTATATGAAAGTGAGGACATATGAAGAAAGAAAGTGGAAGAGAAGTGTTAAGCAGGTGTCATGAAGGTATCGAAAGCGCGATGTGTAAGCTTGGATACTAAACAGAAATGCAAATGCTATAGTCAACGCAGAAAGTTAGCGTGTATCATGCGGCTCCCTCTCAGTTGGAAACAGTAAAAGTAGCTGAAAAGAACACGTCGATTCGAAGAAAGAATTCAAAACAAACAAGGATGCATAAAGTTTTATGAGAACAATAGAGAATCTTCCATCAAGAAAATACACTTAAGTGTATAATTTCCAAACCCCGTGGCAAAAAACTTTGTCACAGATCCTCGGCTTAGAATACCTTTGCTGAAGATCCACCTTCTTGTAGTGCTACCTTGAAGCCCTGCTTTTTGAATAGTCCAGATCCTGCATGTTACAACTCCAGTTTAGAAACCTCTACATCACGGCATTGACATTGTCTAGACATTGTTGACCGTTTGGACGAACACTCTGATTTTAGAAGGGACACGATCACTTGGACACCCATAATAGTACAAACAACACGCAGGTTTATGACATGACTTCCGCTGCTATGCTTCATTCCGATTAACAATCATGGACAGCATGGATGGTCAAAGAAAGAAGTAGAGACAATCCATTAAAATTTATCAGCTCTGTTAGATACTTGGCTGCATAGGTGCTCAGAAAAACTCTGAAAAACAAGTGAGTAAAGAATGTAAATTGATTCTTTCAGGCACTACTTCTACTAATCACTAAACTGATGTCTATGATTTAACATTAACTTTCTCGAATCAGTTCGCTGGTTGTTCAGGTGACATGTAAACCATCTAAGAAAAGAGACGGAGAATCAGAAGATGGTAGCTTGTATTCTTCAAAACAATACAGAGAGAAAGGAATGATGTATTGTTCTGGACACGAATCGTGTAACATAGTGTTAGCGAGGTAGTGAGGCTATAAGATGGATCTAAATATAAGATTGCAAAAATACAAATCTGTTAGCCTCAAACGAAACTCTCACCCTTAAACCTTGTATTGTTGGGTATCAATTAGGTACCGGCAAATTTATAAGGCAATTACTCCACCGGTGGAGTAATTTACCGGCAACAAATTACGAAGGGTTAAAGTTCCAAAACAAACGAAGTCGTCGTTTCATTTTTGCACCGGAAATAATTCTTTACTCCTCCCGCGTGGGTAGTTAACATGCGCAAAAGACAAAACTCAAATTGTATGAGTAAGCTAATGATTATCTAGGCCAGTCTTAAACCCTGGATTTGAAGCCAGTAAGCAAGGAGTAAAACATAACATAAATGCGCGGTAAGGCATGGCATGAACTCAGAAACCTAGAAAAGGTCAAGAATCTGCTCGTCAGGAACTAAGAGGAAAAAAACAGGAGAGATTTCAGAATTAAAATAGGCCTCTAACAAGAATCCCATGATCGTAAGTGACTCCATGTATCGCACAGACAGGGTGGCGTTGAATAAAGTTGGTTTTTGTGGTAAATGAAGGCAGAATCTCCCAGGAACAACGACAATCGTACGACAATCTTACGTGCAGGTTTAGGTTTCAAAAACAAAACTCTCCACACATGCGTAAACATTCCCCGAGTGTAACTGTTACCGAGCAACAAAATTCCTATGATCAGGAAACCCCCCTCAAATCATCAGTTCAACGTGAGCTCGTACGACTCGGAGCAATCAATCTTCAAACCAGTCGCTCGACATCGATAAACCCGAACAACCATGCATGCTGCTAAAAATTCATTCACGTGGCAAAGCATCCTGTACACCATCAACAGAAAAATTCGAAAACCCTCAGAACCCACAGCGCAATTGGTACGTACCGAATCCGAAAACCGACCCCATCACAGCACCGGCAAGAGCATCGCCCATGCCTTTAAAAGCGCAAACCAAAGGACCCTGTCTGGCTTCGCCCATGGGCCCCGGAAAGTCCACACTGTCGCCATCACCGTCAGAGCCTCCGGGCACCATCGCCATGTCTCTCGCACAATCAAGAGCCGAATCGGGTTCGGGAAATTTGCAACAGCAGAGCAGCCAGCAAGCGAGAGAGAGAGAGAGAGCGAGCGAGCGGCCGAGCTCAGTCGCGAGAGGTCACAAGTGGAACCGTGACAGGGCACTATCCTCAGCGCAGCTGCTTCGGCGGACTGCAGCTTTGCTTCCCTCCGATCGGAAACACCCGCGGTCTGTCCGACCGCAGCGCTAACCCAACCGCGAGGGCTGCTCCAACTGTGGTTACGATTCCTCCACTACACGACATCACAGTCCAACCGGAGGGTCTCCGAGCAATACTGTACAGCGAAGGGAGGAGGTAACATGGGCCTCGGCTATAATAGCGTCACGAGGGCACAGGGTCATGGGCTTCTCTGTACCTAAGCTGACCTGGTGTCACTTGCTTTCCGACCCAATCCATTTCGTTCATTTCCCATTTGTTAAAACGGGACGATCTGCACCTGGAACCAACCAACTGTAATGACGAGTCATCCCACCTCATCACCTGTCATTCTCCCTACCGAATGACGTGGTGTTGAAAGTTTCACATTTCGTTTACTAAAATTCACTATTGTGAGTTATTGTGCCGGTGAAATGTGTATCTGTCAATACATTTGTTTCTCTGATTTACCTTAAAAATACAAAAAACTTTATTCAACAATTATTTGATCAATAAAATGTATCAATAAAAGTGGAAGTTAGATACAAAATTTATTTTGAAATGAATTATATATTGTATTCTACCTAACATACAATTATCTTAACACAAGTATCACTAATTGTGAAATAAATTGTGGTGTTTGTCAAAATTTCTCAAAGTCATCATAGCAAACCATGAAACAATTCAGATAGACGCTTTAAAGAAATTGAATTATATATTTGAGCTGTGATTAAATTTAAACAAATTAAACTTGTATATCATATAATTTTTCTATCTAAACATGAAGCTCCTACTATTATTATAGTTTAGCATGGTTGATCAGGTTTTGTAAATTTACAATAGTCAAATTACAATCATTACACAAACTGTTGATGATAAATACGTATTCATAAACAAATCAATAAAATCATTTACCTCCAAATTTCGGTAAATAAAGTGGAAGAATAAACTACTACTCCATTGATTTAAATGATAATTCGTAACATCAAAATCAAAAAATCAGATAAAGAGTATAATTTAAAGTCTAATCTCATAATTCAGATGTGTATTTTTTTTATTCAAGTTTGATGAAATGATACATTATATAAAAAAAATGGAACTTAAATTGCATTAACTAAAGATGTTATTTATAATTATGACTAAAATTTAATGTATTTAAAAGATTTAAAAGCATACAAAATCCAATTATTTCTATTTTTTGTGTGATTTAGTACACAAGGAATTGGTGCATAATTGTTTTCTTGCAACAACTCATGTTCAGCATATAAAAAATCGTGTTATTTACATTCATATCCTAAAAAATATATTTTTAAAAAATATATATTATTTTTTTCAATGTTATCGAATCTGATGTATTTTGAGGATTACTTTTGCAAATTAATTAATTAATTATCATTAACCTTTCAATATTCTGATTCCACATATAAGACATATTTTGAATATCGTACAACTTGGAAAGCAAGGCAGAATATACTATCGAAATTATAATATAAAAATTAACATGAAATTATAAAATTATTAAAATAATAATAATTTTATTTTTTAAAAAAATTTCAAATTAAAAATTGATGTATTATTTACTGCATTGTATTTTTATTGGATACTCTAAATAAAACTTGTGAATACGATTGAAATGATGAAATACATAATGTGAAATATAAATTGCAAACACTATCTGCAAATAACTATTTATATGCTTTGTACATTTATTCATATTAGTTTATTTATTAATATTTTTTATACTCGTAGAACTTGAATTATGAATATCTTATTTGATCTTCTTTTTATGCATTATCATAAATTTGACATTCTTTGTTTCAGTTTGTGACATCGGTATGTTAAAAAAAATCTTATTGAATGTTTAGGTAAAATCAAATTCATAAAAATTCTACTTGTCACATGCAATATTATCTCTGGTGAAAACATATTTCAAATTTATAATTTTGATTGTAAACAATTGATTTTTTTCATTCATGTTTTGTAGATATTGTTTCTAAACTTTGATGCATTTTTCAATATCTAATTTCGATTTAATAAAAAATAAAAAATAAACTTGTTTTCTTCAATTCATTTTTCATCTATTTGTACATCTCTATTTACAAATAGATGAAATGACTTGATTTTAGAAGAAATTCAATTTTGAAATTTTTTTAGAATTTTCAGCATAGTGAAAAACACATATGAATATTCAGATACTTACTAATTAAATTTTTTTTTATTATATTTCATATTTATTAAATAATTCGGATTTCTTTTGGCTTTATGGATTGATAAATTTACTAAAATAAATTATTTCATATTATTATTCTAAATTTTTATTTATATTTTTCATTTATCATAAATAATGCTCAAATTTATTTATTTGAGATTTATAGACAAAGATACTTTTCTACATTGTTATTGATCTCTTAAAATGTTAATTATTCATCTTGATGTTAAAATTATTTTATGAATTTTTGTTTTTCACATGCATATATCTTTTGAACTTTCAGAATTCTTTCTTTAAAATATTTATTTTTATTCGGTCAAAATTTTTAGATAATGATTTAATTCAATAAAAATAAATGTATACTGATTTATGAATGTTATTTTTAAAAATATTAATATATATATTTCAGTTTACAAAAAATGTCTCTTTTTGGATAAAATGTTTAATCTGATTTTTCATTGATTTCTATATTTTTAAATTATGTCTTATATATATTTGATATCAGTTTTAAAAACATATTTTGATATTTTGAAGACTCTTCATTAAAGTGGATTTTACCAAATCAATAACTAAAAAGTATAGTTGAATTCAAGACTCAAGTTATTAAATTCATGACCATGGTTAAGTGCTTGCTATATTAACAATATTTTGTAAGCAAGTTTCTAAATCGAGTTTTATAATAATCTCTGAATCTCTACTCATAGCTCTTGCAATTGCTTTGATTTATGAGCCGTTTGGTGTGGCAGAACTTTTACTTTAGCCAAACAAAAAGAACCTACTACAAAAAAACAAAACTTGTAAAGTTTTAATCTCCCATGCACTCTGTAAAATGTAAATCATGTTGGTTTTAGAAAGTAATTGACATTCACATGGATTTACACTTCATTTGAGTTCAAAAGTTGAAGTCTTTGTCTCTCACGAGAGAAATTTAACAATTTTCTAATTAAAGTTGTTTAAATGTGATTTCAAAAAAACTCATTTTTTTATATCATCAAATTTGTAATTCACATCCATGAAAATATGCAGAGTTTTAGGTAAAATTCAATTTGTTTACTTGAAACTCATTGAAGTTTCGATTGAAGATTTGAATAATATTATATGTATTTATCTTGAAAATTAAAACTAATTTACATCTTGTGAAGAAAATTCAAAATTTTGATACATTTTACGATATAATAAATATACTACAATTCTGTTGAATAGTAAAATTTGGGAATAAATTATTTGAAAGTATATCATCATGACACAAATAGCTTACTAAAACTCAACAAGTATTGTTTCATTCGATAAAATTTGACCGATAGTTCACGTCATCCATGTTTTATTATTGATTGATAGTGCAAAAGTATGATTGTGCTTGAGCGTAAAGCAAGATGAATGAGCAAAGCGTAGTATAAGAAAAGTTCACGAGTGAGAAAAAAAAATTCTTTAATGAAATCTTTTGAAAGTTGAAATAAACTTTGAAGTGCTCACACACATATCAGACTTCTGGAGTATACATTGAAAAAAAATGCATCAAGTAGAAAAACTTTCTATCCATCACTTAACGGATTTAACTGAAGCCTCATCTAAGACAAAAAGCCTGACGGTACAAAGGATCTTATAAAGATAGAACAAGCAGTGAGCAATGGTGACTCAATGTAACACTAGGATTTAGAAAGAAGCTCGTTCGGAAATAAAAACATAAACTCTGAGGATGTGAGATTTCAACAATGGTTTCATTCTCTCTTATATAGCTATTATCAACAAGTACAAAGAGATAAGATCTTATACTCACGACTTATTTCACTCGTAGTGGATGAATGGCGTGCCGGATAACACTAACAAGCATAAAGATTTGTGACATGACGCTCCCAACTAACACATTAACTATCACACTCAATTATTACATAACAAACACATGAATCGCTGACGGATAACACTAACAAGCATAAAGATTTGTGACATGACGCTCCCAACTAACACATTAACTATCACACTCAATTCTTACATAACAAACACATGAATCGCTGACGTGACACTCCTAACTAACACACTAACTATCGCACTCAATCTTTATCTAACAAGCACACGGATCGTCGGTGTGACGTTGTCAATTAACACATTTACTCTCTACCTACCAAGTACACGGATCGTTGACGTGACATTGTAAACTAACACATTTACTCTCTATTTATTAAGCACGCGGATTGCTGACGTGACATTGTCAACTAACACATTTACTCTCTATTTACTAAGCACGCGGATTGCAAACGTGGCAACTATGACTAGTGCGTTCTAAAGTAACTATATAATCATTTTGAGTAACCTCTACCTTAGTTCTAACTAACTAAGATGGTTACATTCAGCTAAATGCAAGTCCACATAATTCATATCGCTTATTTTGAATATAAAAAACTTAAAATCTCGCTTAAAACATAATGTAACCATCTTTAGTTAGTAATAACTAAAGTACATGTTACTCTAAATCTTAATATGGATACTTTAGCGTGCACTAGTCGTAGTTGCCACGTCAGCAATCTGCACACTTGGTAGGTAGAGAGTAGTTTTGTTAGATTACAGTGTCATGTCAACGATCTATGTGCTTATTATAGTTATGCGCCACGTTATCTATCCACTAAGAGTGTGATGTATGGTGGAGATAAGATCTTATCTCCTTTGACTTGTTGGTGAGAGCTATATAAAGAAAAAGATAACTATTGTTAGTATTTATCATCTTCAGATTTGACGTTTCTATCTTCGAGTGAACTTCTCTCTAAACCCTAGTGTTACACATAAACGTAGCAATTTACAAACTCGCGATTGATATATGCTTTGATCTTATAAAAAAAATTTATTTTTGAAAAAATATGGAAATAAATTAACATGATCATACACTTCACATTGTACATTA